CCCAGCCCTGGGCTCCCCCCCACCAGCTCTGCCGGTGCCCCTCAATCCCGACCCGCAGGCCCCTGCTACCTGAGTCCTGGGCTCCCCTCACCAGCTCTGCCGGTGCCCCTCGATCCCAACCCGCAGGCCCCCGTATCCCTCCTGTTATTTCAGACCCTCCCTCACTTGTTCTGAGGAGCTCAGTGCCCGGGACCCCTACACCCGATGGCTGGGGGATGGTTCCTGCCTCCACCCCCTAGAGGTGAATCCAGGTCCCAGAGATGGACAGATGGGGGGAGGGGCAGGCTTTAGCTAATAGCTCCAGTTCACGCCCCCACCCAGTGCCCCCCACGCATGGCTCCCCCTGCACAGCCCCCAGCCTCGGGGGGGGGGGGGGGGTTACAGGGCCAGGGGCTCCAGAGCGATGGGGGTTACAGTGTAAGGCCTAAGGCCTTTCTCTGCAGCCCTATTAGGAGAGCACCAGCCATTAGCGGAGAAGCAGGAAGTCACCTCCTCACATCCCATCTAATGACATTAAACGATGTACGATCCGGCTGGGAAGGAGGAGACCCCGTCCGAATGGCCCACGATCCCCAGATACAGAAACTGAGCGTAAGCTGGTTACAGAAAACTTAGTTTGACAGCATCCTATCTGGCAAGAAACCTCTTATCAACAGTTGTGGTTGTGAAACCCTCATTTCTTTCTTGTTTTATCTTTATGGTCCCCACTTCCCTACTGTTTATCAGTCCGGTCTCTGTCTGGTTCTTGGATTGTTTCTGTCGGTTACATAATTAATTTAGCTAGGTGTCAGTTAATGAAGGTGGTGGGGGAGGGTTGGTTAGAGAATTTTGTTACAATGTTAGGACTGGTTAGTAACATTTTAGTATAACGATGGGTTAAGGTGCAGCTAAGCAGGACTCAAGTTTCACTCTATAAACTGGGGTCCAAAAGGAAGTTCTTGGGAACCGACTCCAGGACACAGCCCGAGATCAGAGCTGCCAGACCCCAACACTCAGCCAATGACACTGGGCAGAAACCGGAGTCCCCCAGATGGCCTAATCCTGACTGGCCAGCGGGGAAAAGTTCATCTGTCTGACTGGGAGTGGTGAGCAGTGTCTGTGTAGCGTGTGCGTCTGGGTTGGGGATTGTTAATAAATAGAGGTGATGTGGGATATTACTGCGTGAGGCTCTTTCACTGGTAAAAGCCCCTAAACCCACAAAAGATTAAGGCCTGAGTCCACAGGGAATGGGTGTGTGCTCTGAGCCCAGAGGAGCAGAGCCTGGAGCCCATGGAGGGGTAAAGTTCGGTGCCTTGCGCCTGGAGCCCTAGGAACTGGGAAAGGGTGGGACATCCTAGAGAGTGCGAGTAACAGAGAATTTTGTGCAGGTAACCACAGGGACAGGGGTCTCTGTGGGGGACAGGGGACTCCAGAGCAATAGGGGTTGCAGGGGGCTTTGTGGGGGACAGCACAGAGAGCTCTGGGGTGCTGAGATAGGCTGGGAAAGAAGCAGTGAGCCAGGGAAGGGACCTTGAGCCCCCCACCCCACCCCACCCACCTGGATGCTGATGATGTTCCCTCCGTTCTGGTACAACCGGGGCTTGATCCTGGGCAGCAGGACGTCCAGCCAGGAATCCACGGCCTGCAGGTAATCTGGGAGCGGAGACAGCAGCTGGGTTCATGTGAGATCCAGGAGCCTGCCGAGGTTTGTGTGCAGGGCACAGGGCG